GCAGCCAAAGATGGAGAAGCTCTATACAGTCAGCAAAAACAAGACCAGGAGCTGACTGTGGCTCAGATCATGAACTCCTTATTGCCAAATTCAGACTTAAACTGAAGAAAGTAGGGAAAACCACTAGACCATTCAGGTATGACCTAAATCAAATCCCTTATGACTATACAGTGGAAGTGAGAAATAAATTTAAGGGACTAGATCTGATAGGCAGAGAGCCTGATGAACTATGGATGAAGGTTCGTGACATTGTACAGGAGACAGGGATAAAGACCATCCCCATGGAAAAGAAAAATGAAATAGCTGGGTATATTTCAGAAGTAGCCACATGGAGGAAAATTTTTAAATTTTTCCTCCTTTACATTTCCACAGCCTTTAAGTTCCTCAGCAGTGTTATTTTATCCTTGAAATAACGTTCAGGACAGGTGTTTCAAGAGACTTTGAGAAATGACATGACCTAGCCAAGATCACTTAGCAAATAAGAGCAGAACTGGGACTAGGATTAGTTCAGTCCATTTCAGTGCAGCATTCCCTGAATATAACTTACACCTCATGCGTTTTGCTAGGCATAAGGTTACATTGGTAAATATAGTACGCTGTCCCCACATCCAACCCTAGCATCTCTTCTCCTTCTTTCCTTGTTTTGTTCGGAACAGAGTAGAGAGAATAATACCATTGCTCAGGAACTCTCACGCTCTGAACAACACTGCATTCCCATGGGTGGGATGAACTAGACCACTTCTTCCCTGAAGCAACCTCTATCCAGACCCTCCTTGACAGATCCAGGGCCACATGGTTGCTTAGGTAACAAGACACTAAGAGTTTGGTTCAGTTACATTCAGGTTCAAACTGCGGTCCTACCACTTAATGTATGATAGTGAGCAACTTAGGAAACCTCTTCATTTTCAGTGTCCTTATCTGTAAAATGGAGATAATAGTAATTTAGCTTTCAAGTGGTTATAATGAATGAATGAAATACATGTAAAGCACTTAACTTAGTAACTGGCTCATTATTAATAGGAGCTCAGTGAATGTCAGTTCCATTATTATTATTGAAGTTATTGTCATTATCGTTTCTTAATATTCTACTGAAATGGGAGGGAAGTCTATATTTGAATGTAAATTGCCTTCAGTCGGGTTGCTCCTCACTGGCAAAAGGCAAGCAGATAAAGGAAATGTGCCCAAAAAAAAAAAAAGGAAATGTGCCTTAGGCCTAGACCAATAACTTTCAGGTTTTTTTTATCACGGCTTATGGATGTAAAATGTTATTTCTTACTGTATGTATACATATACATTTGTATATGTATGCAAAATGTATATAAACTATAAGAAAGTTTCACAAAACAATATTCATCTATATACCACAAGCAGTGCACATACCTTTTTTCCATTCTAATCTGTTTCACTTCTTTAAAAATAGTTTGACCTTCTAAAATCATTTCACAAACCACTAAGGAGGACTCTTCAGTTTGGAAACACACACCTCCAGGTTGGTGTTAACATGCTCAGGACATGTATTTGACACCTGAGAATCACTTAGGAAAATAAGTAGACCTCACCACCAGTACCTAGTGTCATACCTTTGGGTAACATGATTGCCAGATTGGAATTACAGTTGTTTAAGTCTTGTGTTGGCCCTATATCAGTACGGGCTGTTTTCTCATTGCTGATTTTCTGCTTGGTGATAAATACTTGGCAGTTTTTCGTTAATGAGGCTCTGTTTGAGAAAGTACTTAATTATTTTAAAGTGTAATATCCCTTTTATTCTTTCAGGGCAAATAACTGAGTTCAGGATATAGTAGAGAACCACAACAGCTCACATGTATCAATTTTCAAAAAAAACACAATCAACAAATGTTTGCAGTACCTACATTTCAGGCTCTTAGCATGGAGATAAGACTATTTGTGAGGAATTCCCTGACAGTCCAGTGGCTAGGGCTCTGTGCTTTCACTGCTGAGAGCCCAGGTTCAATCCCTGACTGGGGACCTAAGATCCCACAAGACGCATGGCACAGCCAGCAACAACAAAGATGAAATGTGATTAGGTCTCTGCCCTTTGGAACACACAATCAAGTAGAATAAGATGTGCAAATAATCACAATGTGCTATGGGATCAGAGTTCAAATAGAGCTCTCTATAACTCTAGGGACAGTCAGGAATGCTTTTCAGAGTTTACGTTGTTCCTGGATCTTAAGGAATAAGGAGTTTGTCAGGTAAAGAAATGGGAGAGGTCATTCTAGGCTGAGGGACTAGCATAAGAAAATGATATATTTCGAGAACAATCTCTCAAAATCAGGGAACCAGCTACTCAGACGTCACTGTAAGGAAGCACTGACTGATCTGTATTTCAGTACGAAAGCTCAGAACCTTGACAGAAAGGAGACTAGTAGGCTCGCACGTGGGAGGCCTGTGCCTCTTCCAGGTCTTTATTCTGTCTTGTAGCAGCATTTTCTGTGTACCATCAGCCAGCACCTCTGCAGCCCTGAGCTTTCTGACTTCTTTTGGCTACTGAAACCCTTCATTTCCTGTTTCCACAGGAGTGAGGCAGAAATGAAAGATCGTGTCCGAGGATTTTTCTTTTATCAAATTATGTCATATTTTATGCAGTTTTGAAATAGATAGCTTAACTATCCTGCCATTAATGTTTTCAATCTTTAGTAAGTACAGAATCGTTTTCCTTAAGTGACTTGAGCAGTTCTTTTGCTCAGAAAAGAATATAACTGTGACTTACTTCTCACCATGTTTGTTATTACCAGGTAAAGTTTGCCACAGTCACGAAGCACTTTGTCAGAAAAAAAAAATTACTCAAATTACAAAAGTATTATCTTTGATACTACCTATCATTTTGGCGCAAGTAGGGATTTTAGGAGAAGTCATTTCGTCAGCCATCACAAGCTATATTTTTTGTGGCATTGGGTATTGTCACAGGATCATAAATTTTTGCTGTAGATAACTATCGGCTTACGGAAAATAAATGGAATTTCCAAGTGAAAAGAGAAAAAAGAAGATAGTGTGGCAATGCTTACTGCTCTACTGCAAAAACATGCCCTTTGTTATTCCAAATGGTTGGTAGAGCTTCACTCCTGATAATGATGACCTTGCTCAAAGAATAAAACATGTTATATAGCAAATCGTATTTGCGAATCAGTCAGCCTCATTAAGTACCAGGACCAATGTATTCCTAACATTCACCCCCTCCCCAAATTCCTTAATTTTATTATAAAAATTTGTTTCTCACCAAATGACAACCTCTAAAAGCTTATTCCATTTGGTATAATTTTGTAGTGGCACTCTTTGCTGTGCTGTCCATTTCATTGTGCTTATAATATTTATAAACAAGTGCTGAAATTTCATTTAACAGACACTCAGTTCAGCTTTTTGTGTGATTGTTTATTTGTTAATCAAATCTTCCGCTTTTATTATATTTACATTTTCCCTATTGTTAATTTAATTTTTAAAATTAACCTGTTCTTCTCTTATGCAATTTGCTCTGATGTTTGCTGCTATGTACATTTCATTCCTCCTTCCTTCTTTAATATTACCTACCAGTGCATGGGTACAGAGATAAATGTTTTACTCAGTCCAATCCCAAATCTTCAGCTAAGGGAAGAGTCCATAATCAAGGTACTGTATTATTTATCCTAATGTATCACTGTTTTTAACCATCTTCATATGAAGGCATATGTTACAAGTGAATTTTTTCACATTTGTTTGTCAAATCATTTTCTTTATTCTCATACACATTCTGAATTTCCTCTGTGACTTCATTTACCAAAAAATTAACACTTGCCATAGTATCTAAGAAAACTCATAGGTTATAATAGATTCATCCATGTTAAGCAGAAATTGCAAAACCTTTTCTTGAGAACTGGTCTTCTGACCCTATAGATGCTTATAAAGAGAGAAGCAGATGTGACATTATCATGGTGACTTCTGGTCACCTAGAAACATAGCTTGATTTAATATTTGTCAAAGATTAAAGCTTCTCAAAGAGCTAAAGAAGGCACTTTAGGGAAGCAGTAGCAGTGTTATGTACCCCTGTGACTCCATCACCAGCCTGACACCACAGTCTATGGGCATTTCTAAGGACCTCTGTCAAATTCGAGATGTATTATATGCCTTTGTGTTTAAATATTTAATATTTGATGGTCTAACTTGCATATAAAATGCTTGATTTTTCTAATTAATATAATTAAGGTCAACTTATGAGATTCTTCCTAGTAGCTTAGCTTCGTCTTTCTCTTAGAAGACATCTGCTTCTGACTGTCCCTCTTAAATAAAGCCTCCTAAGAGTGAAATGTGCATTACTAAATTTTAACTTTTCACTGTTTTTCCTGGATACTGGGGGGGAAAAGATAAAAATATAATCTTTACTGACTTAAAATTACATCATTTTGGCATAATGTGCAAATATTAATTCTAAATCCAGCCTCAAATTTTAGTGGGTTTAGTAAAGTTCTGATTTATTTCTTAATGTGGATTTCTTATTGAACTGACTAAAGCAGAAGAATGTTCCTTACTTCTTTCTTGAACCCATGAGGAATTTACTCCCATGTTCTCTTTCCTAGGCTTCATTATTGCCTCCTGCCCACATTTTTTTCTTTCCTAGTGTCAGTGTACTCTATTTGTGATCTCAGTGTGTGTTTATAAATACTGAATTTACATCAGTATGCAAAAATAGAATTGACTTGGGTGATTTCTTAGGTTCCTGTGAGCCAAATGATTTTTGAAATGCTATGCTGAATAATGCTTATATGATGCAGATGACCAATATGATAAGTGATTACTTAGATGAATTAATTTGCTATTACCTCTAAAACCATACCCGCAGAGCATGCATCTTTTTTCCTATCCAGTGGCATTCTCACATCAGATTATCTCACTCAACTGTTTTGACTTTTGTGAAGGTGTTTGGGCAAGTCTTCGCTCTAGCACTCGCCTGATCAGCTCTCCAACATCCTTCATTGATGTTGGCGCCCGGCTGGCAGGCAAGGATCACTCCACCTCCTTCAGTAACAGCACTTACCTGCAAAACCAGCTCTTGAAACGTCAAGCAGCCCTTTATATATTTGGTGAGAAGTCACAGCTAAGGGTAAGATTTCTTTTTCTCACTTAGAAACTTCATGGATACAGGAAGACAGCTTCTAAAACTTATTTCATAAACCAATTTTCCTAGAATTTTTTTTCTTTTTTTTGCAGCTTGGATTCTTAACCTGGAGTTAATAATCAATCTCAAAAAAATTAGCTCATGAATATGTTTGCATATGTATGTCTACCTGTACTCATGTAGAAGGAGATATGTATGCATACACACACATGCATATTTATTACCCATGAAAAAGTGCTTATTCATAATCATTTTCTTTTTTCTTTTATTGAAGTATAGTTGATTACAATGGTGTTAATTCCTATTTTACAGCAAAACAATTTGATTACACATGATGTGTACATTCTTTTTTTAATATTCTTTTCCATTATGGTTTATTATAGGATACTTTTTTTAATTGGAGGATAATTGCTTGAGGCTTCCCTGGTGGCTCAGATGGTAAAGAATCCACCTGCAGTGCAGGAGAGTCAGTTCGATCCCTAGGTTGGGAGGATCCCCTGGAGGGCATGGCAACCCACTCCAGTATTCTTGCCTGGAAGAAGCCCCGTGGACAGAGGAGCCTGGCGGGCTACAGTCTGTAGGGTCACAGAGAGTCGGACATGACTGAGCCACTAAGCTCAGTGCACACATGTATACAGTCTGTTTTTAATATTCTTTTCCATTGTGGTTTATCATAGGATATTTTTAATTGGAGGATAATTGCTTTACAATGTTGAGTTAGTTTCTGCTGCACAACACCATGAATCAGATACAAGTATGTATGTATTCTTTCCCTCTTGAGCCTCCCTCCACCACTCTAGGTCATCACAGAGCACCATGCTGATTTCCCCATTATATACAGCTTCGCACTAGCTCTCTGTTTTTTACATAGTAGTGTATATATGTCAACCCTACTGTCTCAATTCACCCTGCCTTCTCCTTCCCCCACTGTGTCCACAAGTCCATTCTCTGTGTCTCTATTCCTGTCCTGCAAATAGGTTCATCAGAAACATTTTCTAGATTGATATATATGCATTAATAGACAATATTTTTCTCTTTCTGACTTACTTTGCTCTGTCTGACAGATTCTAGGTTCATCCACATCACTACAAAATGACCCAATTTTGTTCCTTTTAGTGGCTGAGTAATATTCCATTGTTAATGGGTAAAGAAGTTGTGGTACATAATCATAAAATCAGCATAAACATCAAGACTATTAGGGAGTATATATTTAAAAGAAAGAAGGCTATTCAAGCTGTGGTTTTCCACTCTCAGTTCAGCTTCCAGAATCTGTGCCCATGGCAAAACAGATGTTTCTTTTCTTCATAAACCTCTTGATAAAGCTGTAGGAAGGAAGAAGAGTAGAAAGAGGAGTATGGCACTGCATATGAAGCAAGGGAAGGCCAAGATTGTACTTCTTAGGTTACAGAGACACATGTCCTCTAAGACATGTCAGCAAATGTAAAATATTAATTAGCTGATAATCAACTTTATTCTTACTTTTCAATTATTATGCTGAAGAGCTTCACTGTGCTCAAGTCCTCTAAATTGTAAAGACAGTCTCTATCTCCAAAAGCAACATTAATTCTTCTGGATTTAATGTTTGGCAATTCACACATTACAAAATAAATTTCATCATTACAGACAGGTATGTGGGAAATAAAAAGTATTTGTTAATTAAGAAATCCTCTCAAGTTTAGTCCAGGGATGCAGTGAGCACTGGACAATCTAGGCAGACCTTCATTTGAACTGAAGAATGGAGGCTGCAAGCAGGATCCCTCAGGCTTGGTCCAAAGGATGCCAGAGCCTGAGTCAGCTCCTCTGTGGCAACCTAGCTTTGCTGGCACTTCTCCAGCTGCCTGGACTGCTGTAGTGACTTAGTCTCCAGGCTTTAGGGTAGAATGAAACCACTGGGTAATGCTCAGTTTTTAAATATGCACGTGTGTCTTCTGATACAGCAGGTAATCTTATGTCCAGAAAATAATTGGGACACTTTTCAACAGTAGCCCAGGGAGGCCTGCACAGCCTCCTTGGCACCAGTGTCTTTCCCAGAACACAGACTTTTCACACTTAAGCACACCACTTATTTATGATCTGAGTCACTCCCCAAGGTTTGTCTCCTGAATGCTCATCTCTGCCATTCCCTTTCCACATCAGTCTTCAAATAAGCTGTGTGATCAGGCATATACAAGTAAAAAAGACTGGCCACTTAAGACCCTTCCTCCTTTCCTCCCTCCCTTCTTTCTTTCATCAGTACAATATTATATTTAAAAAGCATAATTCTATAATCCCAAACATAATTTCTGGCACATTAGTTATTAGGATTTTTGTGTATTCCATTCACATTTTGTTTTTTATTGAACTGCATCTATAGATTGCAGGTGCATGTCTGATGTGTGCCTCAGTCTAGCCAGCACAGTGCTTCCTAGTTACAGCTCCACACCTTTTTCTCCCAGCAAAAGGAAACACAGGAGACCAGTAAGTGAGAGTGACTTATTCTAAATAATCTGGAATTGGCTTTATTTACCATTTTTAATTCATATACTTTAATATCTTGGTGACAAATTCCTTATAACCTAACAGTGTGTGTCTCAACACTGTGGTTAATAACTCCTGCTTTATAAGGTAAGTATGAAAGTGTTATTCTGTCAGTCGCATCCACCTCTTTGTGACCCCATGGACTGTAGCCCCCCAGGCTCCTCTCTCTGTGGAATTCTTCAAGTAAGAATACTGGAGTGGGCTGCCATTCCCTTCTCCAAGGATCAGACCTGGGTCTCCTGCGTTGCAGGCAGATTATTTAACGTCTGAGCCACCAGGGAAGCCTCTTAAGGTGAGTATAGCTAGCTCAAGTGTAGATGGGAAGTAGAAAAGAAGCCAGTTGTCCTGAAAAATAAACTATTTTTTATGTATTAGAAGTTGTTTTTTTTTAATTTATATAACACAACACTGTAAATCAATTTAGTAGAGTATACTTCAATAAAAAGTTTAAAAAATAGAGTAGATAACAAAAAAAGACCTGCTATATAGCACAGGGAACTATACTCAGGAATATAAATGTTCAAATATCTGGCTAAATATATCTGGATTATAATAAATGTTTTAAATTGTATATAACTTTTAAAGTAAAGCAAAAGTTTAAAAAAACTTGAAAATGTGACTGAAATTTTACACATAGATGATAAAGAAACCAAAATATCCAACAATTTGGAAAATTATCCAATGATTGAAATAATTATGAAGTCTATTATATTACACAACATGGAAACATGTTATGGCTTGAGATAAAGAACCTAGCAGTATGAGAACATGAGTTCCTTTCTGTTTTTCTTTATCATCTGTATGTAAAATTACAGTAGCATACAGCTTTTTTATTTTTTATCGAGATATAATACAATCCACTAGAGGATTTTTTCCTACATTTTAGAGTATTTCTTTAGGGTAGCTCCCTAAAGGTGGAATTACTAAGACAAAGAAACTTTTTTTCTTAATATATGTTGGAAATGCTCTTTAAAGGAAAAAAATACTTGGGAGTTTTTGCTTTTTATTTGAAAACTTTTATAGGCCTTGAAAGAATACTCTAACCAGTATAAAACATGAAATGGACCCTATATATAATCTTTGGCAGCAATTTTGCTTAGTTGTGGTAAAATACAAATAACATAAAATTTACTGTCTTAACATACACTTTAGTAGTGCTAATCACATTCACATTATTGTATAGTCAGTCTTCAGAAAACAGATAATCCAGTTTCGAGTAATTTGGGCAGGATATGAAGAAAGTGAAAAAAACATGAGAAAATTCATTCATTCTTTCCCATAAGAAGCTGGAGAACTTTTAAATCTTCAGAAGTAGGCAACTAGATTATCAGAAAAAACTATTTCAGTGAGCCATCAATTTAGCGTTCTTTAGTTAATATTGAAAACTCACCTGGAAAAACTCCATGTGGATTAAAAGTACAAAAATTATGTATGAATTTTTGAGTAAAAGTACTCAAATAAATATAGATTGAAATATATGTCATATTGAGTGGAAAAAATTGTCCAAAAGTTAGAAATCAACAAAGCCTCTCATGTTTTACTCTATATCATTTTTTTATTATTGGCTTTAAAAGAATAGCTACAATATTAGTAGTCTTAGGACAGTGAGACAGTGATTTCTATTTCCTTCTCAATGTTTACTCTTTTTTTTTCATTTTCACAGTGGCTATGTTTTACTTGCATAATAAGAAACAAATGTGTATGTCTATAAACTAAGTTGTAGAGCTTTGGAATCTCAATAGCATATTACCTTTTAATTGTTAACGCACATCTTAGGGAGATTTAGTTTACAGTGTGGGATTAGTCATGCATCATTGGTTCCTCTTTAGACTTCCTGGTTCATGGCCTTATAAGAAAGTGAAAGTGAAGTCTCTCAGTCGTGTTTGACTCTGCAACCCCATGGACTATAGCTTGTCACGCTCCCCTGTCCATAGGATTTTCCAGGCAAGAGTACTGGAGTGGGTTGCCATTTCCTTCTCCAAAGGATCTTCCCGACCCAGGGATCGAACCCAGGTCTCCCACGTTGTAGGCAGACGCTTTACCGTCTGAGCCAGCAGGGAAGTCCTCATGGCCTTATAAGTAGCTTCTATTTGGTGCTATAAGCTCCATCAGATAGATTCCAGCTGACAAGTAGCCTTTTCAAGTTCTCAGAGTGAGAAATCAAGTCAAACCACTAGACCTTACTGAATATCTCTTTCCAGCAATACTGACGCATTAGCTGCACAAGATTGACCTTCTTGACCCACTGCAGCGCTCCTTGGCCTCAACTGACTGTATATTATTAAGCATTGCCCTGTTGAGAACATTGCTCTTTTACCTGTTACACTTCATCTGCCTAATTCTCTGCATCTTCATCCACAGAACTTCAAGTTAGAATTTGCTTTAAATTGTGAGTTTGTGCCTGTTGAATATCATGACATCCGACAAGTGAAAGCCAGTTTCAAAAAGCTGATGAGGGCTTGTGTTCCAAGTGCCATCCCTACTGACTCAGAAGTGACCTTCCTAAGAGCCCTGGGAGACTCTGAGTGGTTCCCACAGGTAATATTTGGAGTAGCCTGTCTTCTAACTCAAGGGGAGAGAGTCCCAAGGGGATATACAGAACTGATATTTGAGGAAAAGAATATTGTATTCCCCACTACCTGACACTCTCCCCTTCTTGTGTGTCCTCTATAAGGGCCTTTCAGTTTCAGGGCACCACGTGATGTAGGAGGTGCAGGGGTAGAATTCTTCTTCCTTGGGTTTTTCTCTGTTACTGAAATTTGGTCTCCATAGGAGGCTAAGAAAGATTATTGTTTTTAGGCGGAAACTTTTTGATACGTAACAAATTTAATCAACATGTATTTATAAGGCTTCTGGTCTGTCATTAGCAAAGTGATAATCCAGGACAGAACGTGACTTCTATGTGGCTCCAAGGGCCTTTTCCTCTTACTTTCTCACTTTCTTTTTGTCTCTACCTGTTCCATCTCTCTGGATTTTGGATTCATCCCCCAAACCAGCCCACCAAAGGCACATTGGATGCCCTGAAGCCTTCTTAAAGTTTAGGAAAAACCACTTATCCTTCCTTCAGCTAAGTCAGTCTTGTGATGTTTTCAATTGAACTCCTATCAAGAAATTAAGGAAATAGGTATGCCAGCACATAACCCACATGTCTTCCAAACCACAGAAAGAACGGTATTTATGACATGCATGTTTCAGACACTGATGCAGACATTTGGCCAAGAGCCTCTCTGCAGTACAGCCGTGTCTGTTGGCCCTTCGTGCTTGTTCATTACTCCTTCTCCCCCCACAGAAGTGCACAGCCCCTCTCTGCCCTGTCTACATCAATCTCCAAGTCTCCGACCTCTTTTTTTTCCCCCTTCCTTGCTTGAGGAGGAAAATGGATTGTTTCCCACAGTACATGGGACTAAAAAGGGGGGGAAAAAAAAAAAGCCAAGAAATGATGTAAGCACCCAGGGCAGTGACTATTCTCAAGGTACTTAAACTCTAGGAAAACAGCCACATATATAATTAGCTATAAATCTGTATGAGGCTGTGTTAATTACTGTTAAGACAATTCAGTATACTTTGAAGCAGCCATAGAAGCTGAGCAATCAGTATTCCCCTTCTGTCCTAAGCTGTGAGCCCCAGCCCTAAAATATTCCCACCACTCTACCTATCCATCTGTTTCTGCTGTTGTGCATTCTGCTCCTTACTTCATAGTGGGTCCATATCAGAAGTTAGTGAGTAAAAACAATGGAAAACATTGCCCCACTTGGGATATTGGCAGTTTAAAAGTTTACTTAGAGCAAATGCTAACTAAGCCCAAGAGAATTCAGGCCTGGTAATAATTGTGTTATAGGAACTTTTGGGTGAGGAGCTTCCCATTCCTGGAGGGGACACGTGCCTTGTTGCTGTTTTTTAAAATAGCCTAGCTCTTTAAAATATGTTGGTGGGGGTGTTTAAATTACAAGTTGGGTTCATTCTACAAATTATGTCAAGTGAGGCTTTAAAAAATTTTTTTAAATCAGAATGTTACACATTTAGTTTTGAGATCTATATGCTCTGCTCACAACCTAATTGTTCATTAGGGATTTTGAGTCAATTGGCTTGGCTCAAATGCAAGTTTTCTTCTCATTTAATACACAGTACAAATACTTAAGTGTACAATTCACATTTGATAGAAGCAATATCTTTTATAATTTCTCTAGGGAGATACATTTTATATATATTTTGTAATATTTTTCTTTCTCCTAAGATTTTTGGTATGGATATTTTCTCTAGTATGAGAGGTTTCTAAAATTTTAAAAGTGTACAGTTCAGTTAAAATAAAAAAATGAAAAATACTTTTTAGTATATTTACAAAGTCGTGCAGCCCTCTGAGATAAAACATACTATATCATTTAACAAGAAATTTTAAATCCAATAACTGTATTGCAAGGGCCACTTAAAAACCTGTCTTTGCCACTCCATAGAATTATAGCTCTTCGGTTTTGAGGGGAATCTTGTGAGCTCAATTTATTTCATTATGTATCACTTGAACACATTGTTTTAAATTTTGTCATTGTTTAATCTTGATTTTGACAAAGAGTTTTAATTAAGTATTTAAAATTTATATGATTCTTTGTTGTTGGAATATTTTGTTCCTAACTTGTTTGATTATCTAAGGTTGATAGCAGGTGTGTCTGTTCTTGGTGCTCAGAAAGCACTTGGTCTAAATGTGGCCTCTGTTCCTTTTTCTTAGCTTCATAGGATATTGCAGCTGGCTGTGGTTGTTTCAGAAGTACTTGAGAATGGTTCCTCAGTTTTGGTGTGTTTGGAAGAAGGCTGGGACATCACTGCACAAGTAAATTATTAAACCATATTTTCTGATAGTTTTATATTTGTATTTCAACTGAATTATTTTAAAATTCTGCAGGTGAATCTTTTGTATAATGACTAATGTGTTTATGGACAGAGAAGGTCCTCTGTTAAACAGAACCTGGTATCCATCAAAAGGCTCTGTGCCAGGAGTTCCCAGGCCCTCCATAGCCTGGGCACTCTGACTCAGGTCCTCAGGCTCCATGGAGCATCACCACAGATGTACCATGCAAGCATGACCAGCAGTGTAGGACACAGACCATCTTTCCTATGTTTTGTCAGTTCTTTCTCTGGTTCTGTTAGCCCCTTCTTTACTCATGCCAAAGTGTGAGTCTAATCTACAGGAAAATGTTAGTCTACATCTCCCAGAAGATGTAGGTTTGAACTGATCCTCTGACCTTGTTGATTAAACTAGGAGAAAGCCACAGTCAGCAAACTGACCAGGCAAGGATTAAATTCTTAATTCTCTGTAGAAAAATGTAACCAAAATGAATTTGAGTCTTACTTTTTAATGGAAAGCTTGTAGAATTAATACAGTTAGTTGTCCTGGACAGGTTAGTGAACAAATTTGCCATCCAGATAACTTTGCTTGTGGAGTAGCTGTCATCAAAATGAAGTGCTTTGTCTTAGCAACAGGAATTTTTCGGGCCTGAAAGTAATGAAGTATCCAACCTGCTTGTGCCCTAGGTGACCTCCCTGGTTCAGTTACTCAGTGATCCCTTTTATAGGACACTTGAAGGCTTCCGGATGCTGGTCGAAAAGGAGTGGCTCTCTTTTGGTCATAAATTCAGTCAGCGGAGCAGCTTGACCCTCAGCTGTCAGGGCAGTGGTTTCACTCCAATCTTCCTACAGTTCTTAGACTGTGTACACCAGGTAAGTAGAGCAAGTTTAAATCGAGTAGATACGAAAGCAAGAACAGAACTAGCATTTATTGAGTATTGCCTTGCTGTGCCAGGTATCTTTATGTCACAACTCTGATGGACTCAGCCATAGACTTGATGAAATCTCAGTGGTAGATTTCTGGAAATGGAAAAGCAAAAGAAGTAGTTGGTTTCTTCTTTTTTAGTTTTTGTTTATTTATGGCTGCACTGGGTCTTCATTGCTGCACAGGCTTTCTCTGGTTGCAGCGAGCAGGGACTATTCTCCAGTTGTGGTGAGCAGCCTTCTCATTGCAGTGGCTTCTCGTGTTGCAAGCATGTGCTCCAGAGTGGCAGGGCCTCAGCAGCTGCAGCACACAGGCTTCATTGCCCTGCAGCATGTGGAATTTGCCCAGACCAGGGATCAAACCCACGTCCCACTCACTGGCAGGCGAATTCTTAATCACCGAACTGCCAGGGAAGCTCAAACGAGTTGGTTTCTGAAATTAAGACTGCTGAGCTGGTTGTTGAGCTTGACACCAAGTGAAGGGGTTATTCTTGTTTAGTCACTAAGTCATGTCCGACTCTTTTGCAACCCCATGGACTACAGCTTTCCAGGCTCCCCCGTCCATGGGATTTCCTAGGCAAGAATGCTGGAGTAGGATGCCAATTTCTTCTCCAGAGGATCTCCCAACCTGCGGATCAAACCCACATCTCCTGCAAGGCAGGAGGGTTCTTTACCACTGAGCCACCAGGGAAGCCCCAAGTGAAGGGGTCAGCACTCTCAATTACCACCTACCAAGAGGAACAAACGGGCTTATTGTCTAAGAAGATTTGATCTAGTGTAGAATAGCAAAATCCCAAGGTGATGGTGGGGCCTGAAATCGTACACGTGGTCTTCCCAGTTGGGGAAAACCCTACCTCGTGCCTGAGAATTTAGGAGAGGTAGAGCCTAACCCTCGAGAAAGAATCAGGGCCCGACCAGGCAAGCCTAAGCTTCTGAGGTTGAAAACAATGGCTCAGTTCTACTGGGTGACATAATCAGGACTAATCAAAGGGCCAGACAGAAACAAAGGTATGTAATGCAGTCAAATCCAGTGGGAACAGGGAGATGTGAATGTTCTGGGCTCCCTCCTACCTTCATCTCAGGCCTTGGTCAGGATTGGGCTTGAGAATTAAATGGCACTGAGTTTGCAAGTTGAAGGTGTTGGCACCAGTGGCTAAATTGGCCTGGTAAGAACAAGGTTCACGCTTTCAGTTGTGTTTCATCAACAGTGAATGGGTTCTGACATGTCAAACATATTTGTCAGAATGGTGAACCTCTTTAAAATTGAAATACCTTGGCCTCAAGTATCTATTGGAAGGAAAAGTTAAAATGTTTTTAGGAACCAGTTTTGGAACTAGGTCATCTTATGTATGGTTGTGTTTTGTTTTGTATTCTATTAATCAATTTGCCAGCTTTATCAATTCACTTTATATTTTTAAAAATTTATTTAAAGTGTATAATTCAGTAGTTTTTAGTATATTCATAGAGCTGTACAATTACCACAAGCAATTTCAGATTATTTTATCACCCAATAAACAAAATCCATACACATTAGCAGTGACTTTTACACCACCCCCACCTGGATGTCATTCCCAGCATACACACACACTGGAGATTATGTTTTTGATTGCTCCACAGCTTTTTAAAGACCTATTGAATAATTTTAATTGATTTGAGCAGCATCTGGAGACGCTGGCCACAAGCTTGAGCTTATACNATCATTATTAATACTTCTTGACCGCTTACTATATGCCAGGCACTAGTCTCAGCACTACATTTTATTTCATGATTCTTTCTAGGTAATCTTTGAACTTTTTCCAGGCCTCTTCATTTGTATTCTAATGAACCATCTACAGACTTCCTTGATAGCATCATCTATTAATGTCTGTTGCCTTCTACTTAGACTGAGAATTCTTGGGTCTGTGTCATATTAGTCTTCATATCCCTAATATCTAACTGTAATTTCAGTCTCTGTAATGTAGTATACCCTCAGTAAATAAGTACAACAAATGAATACATGAAAATTTGAATGACCACCTGGTTCAGCCTTGTTCAGGCTCTTGTTGCCCTTCATCAGGACCATCTAGAATATCCTAAGTACAATTGCTAATAAAATCTTCTGAATGCTCAGATATGATATTATCCTCTTTTACAAAAATCTTTAAAGCAGACAGAAACTTTCAGTGGCTCTGTGTCATAAAGAATTACTCTTAACTCACATCCAACTTGAATGTAATACTGTCACAAATCACTTGAAAGGTTTTTAAGGCTCCTCACTGGATGCCTGTATTGTCTCAATAAGTACACTCAATCAGTTTTACCCCTGCATTGAAATAATAACACTGTTTATTCAGTTGAATGCTAGATGAAGCAACTGTCTTTTAATGTTTTTGGCATATAAAAATGTGTATCTTTAACAATTAAAGTCACAATCTTCATAATGTGGTATTCACACTTAAAGAACATGTAGGGATTAAAAAGCTCAATTAAAAAAAAAATCAATAAAACAAAGAGCTGGTTCTTTGAAAGGGTAAACAAAATCAACAAACTTCTGGCCAGGCTCACCAAAAAGAAAAGAGAGAAAACCCAGAAAAAAACAAAATAAGAAATGAAAAAGGAGAAATCTCAGCTGATACCACAGAAATACAAAGACCATAAGAGAATACTTTGAACAATTATATGCCAACAAATTTGACAAGCTAAAAAAAAAAATGAACAACTTCTAGAAATGTTGTTTTTAGTCACTAAGCCTCGTCCGACTCATTTTGCAACCCCATGGACTATAGCCCACCAGGCTCCCCTGTCCATGGGGTTTCCCAGGCAAGAATACTGAAGTGGGATGCCACTTCCTTCTCCAGGGGATCTTCCTGACCTAGGGATCAAACCTGTGTCTCCTGCATTGGCAGGTGGATTCTTTACCATAGACCCACCAGGGAAGCCCTCTAGAAGCATAAAACTCACCAAAATTGAATCAAGAAGAAATAGATAATTTGAACAGAGTGATCACTAGAAATGAAAGAACCTGTAATTAAAAAAAAAAACTCCCTACAAACAAAAGTCTAGGACCAGATGGCTTCACAGGTGAATTCTACCAAATATACAAAGAAGAACTTATACTGATTCTTCTCAAACTCTTCCAAAAGTTTGAAGAGGAGGGAACAGTCCCAAAGACATTATATGAAGCCACCATCAGTTACCCTGATACCAAAACCAGACAAAGATACCACTAAAAAAGAAAATTACACCTCAACATCACTCATTATCAGAGAAATGCAAATCAAAACCTCAATGAGGTACCATTACATGCCAGTCAGAATGGCTGCTATCCAAAAGTCTACAAGCAATAAATGCTGGAGAGGGTGTGGAGAAAAGGGAACCCTCTTAC